TTGGCACGCTCTCCTGTTACTTTTGGCTAGCCGACCATGCGTCAGCACGCAACATAACATGTACCACAGTATACCTCTCATTTTGGACGACATGGCTTTTTTATCTTTCGACAGCATAGGTATCTTTTGATCTGTCAAAGGCACATGATCAGTTAGCAATTACACGTATATATCACCATATCATTGAATCCTACTTTTCAGTCGAAATCCTCCATCTTTTAAACTTGTGAGATTCGCATGTAGGCGTATTTCGAACGTAATGGAAACACCACTGTTGAATGGACTCTTATTCTAAGGAATTCGAAAATGCGAACCCTGGTCCAATTAAAAATATGAACCACAACAACATGGATGACTCCCGATGGATCAGCGGACACTACAGAGCCTTTGTCGTTGGACGACTTGTTTACATGGTACTGTCCAAATTACTAAACTTCATCTGAACAATTACAGCTTACATACAGAGTTAAAGTACTCATCCTGGCATTTTCGCATCAGTCTCCTCAGTTGTTATTTTCTGACCAGGAATATATGATGTACTTAAAAAGCAGCTTCAGAAAAGTCAATCTTCCCGATTGGAAAGATTCTGCCGCACAAACTAACCGCTGCCTCAGATACTTTGCATGGCAACCGACTCGAAAATATCAGTAAACGGATTGGTGATTCTACGAAGATTTACTGTTCCGTCGACAATGAACCACGAATACAAAGTTACTCACCATAGAATGAGTGTGTAAAGTCAGCATAAACCACAGTTATACTTCTGACAATTTTCCTCCAGTATTCTGTCAAACAGCATACGGCTGGGACACGGCTACCAAAATGGATATCTGTCCAAATAAACAAACCATGTGTTGCACACTCAACGCTTACAAACAATGATACATTATAGTACCAAATTATCCAAAATTTACCAGTTTTTAGTGGTACGATGGGATTTTGAGAAGCTACATTCGATTTGGCAATTTACTAAACGTGGAATATTGCTCAACCAACCATATTATGTTCCATGTTTTGATGATAAAGCCAACTAGAGAATTTTAGACTGCCGATCCTCGCGAGTAATACAGTACCATATGTCTCAACTGACCAACAAATAATAAACCGGAAATAACTCTAGGTGTATGGGATCTCATATGTTCACTAATAGAGTTCACTGAGTGGACAGTACCTTACTAACAACGACCTCAAGGTGGTTGCAATTGCCTAACGCCACAACTCTAGCATTTTACGAGCAAGCTTATTTCACTGAGAGGACTGGTATAGACAAAGTATTCCAGCATTATTCAGATGTGTAGTTAACTGGAAGTGGAACTTGTTCCTGTGAAGTCATTGTGAGTAAAATGAGCCTCAGCAGAGTTGCTGATGGGCGTGCTTTCTGTTGTGAAGTTTACTGAATTCTATTGAGAGTTACAGAAGTCAAACCGACGAATATATTATCTCGTAAAGGCCTTCCTCAATGAGTCACACATTATATATATATGCAGTGACTTGGTATTATAATAATAAGTTATATTTCGTTCAAAGGGGTAAGTTTACAAGATGGGGCTAAAATGCTCAAACGCCAAATAGTTTCATCTCAACTGTTTAATGCTGCCGGGACTGCAAAGATATCACATCGTGGATGACTGAGAGGGTGACTTTCTTATATTGGAAGTGTCGCTTAACGTACAGACAAACAATGATGACAGGAAGTAAATGCAGCCGAGGACACGATGGAGCCAACGGCTTTTAGGTGCTTGATTGCAAAATGCCACCTAAGCGAATTATACCTAGAATGAATACTTGGCAGGAAGCTTGCATCTTCAATACCCACTATTATTGGAATCCTGAAACAGTTGGGTATCAAAGAGATTTGCCAAATCAATTGAGGCCCATTCATTTCGCCCCTCTCAATCAATTTATTTACCGCTGTTGACTCTGCCACACTGCACATGTCAATGTAGTTGAAAATTGAACGATCAATTCATGGTTGTTTGCTCAAAACCAACTTCCCCAATTTTCTCGGAGGCATCAATACGACAGTCATCGTCTCATCGGTCGCTGTTCAGCAAGAAGTCAGGAGACAACTGTCAGAAGTAATATTGTGATTCATTATTGTAATATTTGTTCACAGACGTTAGTTGTAACATTGTTTATATGTTGGTATCACAATAAAGAATCCTTGAGTCGCCAATTGGTGTTTTGATTTTTGCGTCTGTTCGTACTAAGCGTTTCTGAGAAACTTCAAGGAACAGCGTGAGCCCGAGTGCAGCAAGAGCTGGGCATTAACGGTTTACGAGACGTGGCTGACAGCACACAATCGGGCTATCAAAAGAAAATGAGTGGCTTCTACATTGTGGTATATTTGTGTACTCTGCATCACCTTTATTACTGAAAAAATTGCATCCCTTGACTTCCACAAAGGTTATTTTTCCCCCTTCACTTGTTGGGGACTTTTAAGAGCAATCTAGTCATTAAGCTAGGTAGGTCAGGCTACAGGCCAGCCATTTCTGTAGCTCAGGTCTGACAGCATAGATGGCTAAATAACAGTCTCAGGAGTTACTTCCAGTTAAAGCCAACCACAAACGAGTTCGAAAGCACTCAAGCGGTGCAACTAACCGGCTTTCTAGATCTGTAATACGTAAGGACCCACTACGATCACTTCGCTATACTCAATACTCAGCCAAACGTTTCAGTGACCTGTAACAGGTATCAATTCTAGTGCGGGATCCAAAGAAGGGTGACGAAAATCGTTGGAGAGATTAGTTGATATCATAGGATATCAATTAAAGCCACCTGGAGCAATTCATTTATAGAATAACGTTTAATTTCTTTACGCGCACACCATGAAATTGGCATGATTTTTATCATGAGCTCTAGAGAGACATCCTGTGTAAGATTTTCATGCCTGCTTTATCCATTATATGAGTGTAAATAATTATTTTACGCGTAAATGTCGCCTTCGGAATTCAGAACAAGAGCATTATATATAGGGTAACGAAACGTTTGTATAGGATTGATTGTGATAAGTTGTTCTTCTCTGCTCAACTGCCAAAAACTATTGCCAGTGGACGTGAACATTGAACGTTTGTTTTGGAACTGGTAGCCATTGGCGGGCAACTCGAAGGCGCGAATGTTTCGACCGTGTACAAGTTTGACGAAGACGTACAAAAACGAATAAAAGTACATAATAAATTTGTTTAAAACATTTGTTTATAGACTTGTACTGTTTTCTATTTTAATTGCCAAACAATATAACTTCCTTCTTACAATACTGGTGTTTTGGAGTTAAAGCGAAGAAAGTACATATTATTTATCGGTTCGGAGCGTCTTCGTAACAACAGGAACTTAGGGATAAGTACCTTGACAACTATACTGATCCATCAACTTTTAGTGTTTGACTTTGAGTCCGGAAATGAAATGGTACTTAAATCAGCGTTGGGCTTAATGTGTTCGCAAACTGCTAGTAATCAGATGTTCACATATGAGAAGTATGTATTTAATTGGTATGCTAATCTGAATCTCGTCCGACATTCGGCGAATACACAGGTAGATTGCCAGAACTGCCAATAATACGAAGACGATATGGTTTATAAAACCCTGATCGTACGTCAGTCCTATCATTGCATTAAATCCTGCCAGACTCAGCACTACTTCCATTGAAATGAGGATTGTATGAATTTAAGCTAAACACTGGTTTCGTGTTTTCGAAGTGCAACAGGTTTCTATCATCTGGACTAGACAGGGCTAAATCATATGGACAAAAAGCTTTAGATATTATGGTCTGTCACCAGGAGAAGGGGAGTGGGAGAGAAGAAAAATATAATTGTCATTTAATTACAAGATAGTATAAGGCGATTTATGAGAGTAAACGACGGAGAGATTAAACAATCAGTCTTTGAGTACCACATTTACTGTAAAGCGAGTTTAATTTCTTGTCTTAATTGGATCTGTACAACTGCAGTGTGATGAGCAGCTGCAGCTTCCATTATACTGCGTTCTGAAGTTTCATTTAAAAATTGGCGGTGAGGTTACATTAAGGTTATTGGTGTTGATCAAGGACATTCCGCGGCACGGCTCAGTAGGTTGTAACTGTTCCCCACATTTCACTACTTCTACTGAAATCCACCTTGACTATTTTCTCCTTTTGTGCCACAACATCATGAAATGCAGTGTCTTTGCCACTCGTGCATGAACCGAAGGATACAAAATTATTTGTAGAACTCATCACATTTTCTCTTAGTTGTTAGGTATGAATATTGAGGAGGTTCGTAATTTTAGGCCTGGCACTACGTGTAAACCCCTGCTCAAGTGCTGGTAATGCGAAATCACTTCTAGGAAATACGTAGATAAGTGTCAGCCAAATCAGCTACTTAGATAAGGAAACGTGCTAAATTCACAGGGAATACAGAATAAAGGCCGGCTGGCAAATCGCGACTAAAAGACATTTGCATGTTAAACTGCAGCGTAACTTTTTGTCCACGTCGATGGCAAAGTGGTTAGGATTAATGCACATGGTCCGGGTTCGATCCTCTGCCGACGCACACCTGGTATCTATGGCCGGCCTGCAAAATTTGGGCTACCGATATCACACGCTGAAAGTTCGATACCTGTACCAAAAATACGGTGTGGAATCAAGCTGTTATAAAAAAAGTAGGAAATTCAGCTGTGCCAAGTAAAATGTAGTAAATCTACGACTCATGTTCAAGCCAAAAGGGCCATTTTATAAAAACAGACGTTGATGCTTAAGGTTAAGAGATAACTAGTGGTCCAATATTTTCATAGATGACAACTAATGTATGCGTTTCATCAGATCATATATCGTGATTTTATGCTATCATCACTAATTATTGACGGGGACAGTGGGATCTATTTGTCCTCTGTTCACATTAAATCCTTTGTCTAGGCTTTAAACGCCTCATATACTTAACTTCACTCTAAGCTTGCTTCATTTGACAGCCACAAGCTACTGAGATGATAATATTTTAGAATATCAGAGTCTTTTAATCAGTGAGTTATCTCAACCAGTTAGATTTATTAAAATGAAATAAAGGAAGCAACCTTATCAACTTCAACCAACCAAAGAGTTTTTTTAGCAAAAATTGTGTTATCTAAAACTGTTTGGCGCCCTCTAATTTACTTCTGTGAGCATAGTGGAATTTGTTTAAAATGATCAAGGAACATCAACTATTTAAACGCACAGGTTCGATTTACTCGCGTACAATCAATCAAGTTTCTGTGAACGTTGCAATTAGCGAGCATCGTTAACTGGTGTTCACTGATCTGTCACATTGACCATGGTGCGTTTGTTCATAATATTAATCTTAGCATATTCCAGAAGGAAGAGACTAAAAATAATATGTATGGATGCATTGCAGTTGTTGGTGCAATTTTGATCCACTTTACTTTCGGATACTTTTACACTGTTGGTAGGTTTCATCAAAAGTAACACGTTTCTGGTTCAGCCAATATGGTTCCTTATATTATGGGTTATATGCAAACGTTAGTAGACACCAGTCTTACCAGTCAAGCTTCTATTTGGTTGTCAGCAGTTGCTCTGGGAGTCCAGGGGATTTCTATGCCAGTTGGCGGAATTATAGCTAGCAAGTTGGGATTTAGATGGTTGTTGCATTGAGTTGTATCACAACAAGGTGGGTCAGATAACGTTTGATTTTTTGGTCTAGTTATATTCTCACTTTTGAGTAAGGATCCAGTATTCATTATCAGATTTAAGAGCCATAGTAGGCCAATTTGGTAATACACCATCTATTCTACACTGTATGATCTCCCTCAACTCAGCTGCTCATAGTCCCCACGAAGGATTACTTTTGTGCATCTTTTTACTAATGTTAATATAATATCATTATCGCACTATCATTTTTCAATTGCGAAATCAAAGGTTAATGCGCTTTTATGGCAAGCGACTCTAAAATAGTCACGAATATAGTTTTCATGTAATTTTTCGTATGTTTTTTATCATCTAATAGAAACTTCTGGCCTTTGTTATCAGATAACTCTGTATGTATAAACTTCTAAATAATTGCACAACCTTGAAGGGAACTTACTGACTTTATGTCCTCAATTTTATCGTATTTAAAAAGTGACAACACTTTCTCTTACATCTTAGCGAAGAGTTCTTGTTTTATTTTACAGTAGTCTTTTAGAAGTTACTGCTGACCCCACAGAGCCCCCCCTTGTTGAGTTGTTATGTATTGTCGAGGTCACTAAAAGATGTTAGTTTGAGGATACCAAGATACTAAATAATCACCAATTTATTCAACAAAGAAGATTTAATTGCGGCTTATTTTCAGTGCAAAATATTACTTTGTTGATTTTCAGGAAAATGGATAACTACATGGAACTATTTTGTAGCTTTCGCGGTAATTGCAAGGAATTCGATTTATAGCAGTCATCTGTATGATGTTTCTTTGGTTTCTTACTAAAATCTCCCTTTTTCGTCTATATTTATGAATGTTATATGCTTATTTTGTAGCGGGGGTGTTATACTGACCTACTTTACTATTCAGAAGTCTTATATTGGTGTGGTTATAACCTACTCAGTCTTATTGGGAAGTGGTTTGGGACTTGGATACTCAGTAGTATTGGCAGCTGCATCCTCGGTAAGAAGTTTAATATAGATGTTTTCTTAACTTAACACAAAATTAAATAACGTGCTTGTACAGGTAGTTGAGTAAAATTATTTCACACACCTAAAAACTTGTAATAACTGAGAATACACTTGAGAATAAACTAAAATAAACCTTATTTCAAAAATAAGTGATGATGTATGGTAATGACCTGCGTAAACTTGCAGTATATCTAAAAACTGTACTTAGCATTCCATTACGGTTGCAGAAGACATTGAGGGAAATTCGTGTCAAAATATTCAACTGATTTGGCCGAAACGTCTGTTGATTCATCACATCCTCACGTCAATATTTATTAAGGCAAAGTTGTAGTGAACCTGTCAGAAACAGAATAAGAAACCTGTTTATGTTAAGCTTGTCTATACAGCTCTGATAAATACAATTATTTTTTACCACCTTTAAAATTTAATCCACTTAGAGTTAAAACTTGGATTTATTTTCACTAGGAAATGAACCACTTCTTTCTAGAAAGAGCAGGGTATCTACTTTGACTTTGTGTACTGCACTGAAATGATTTAGAAAGAAGAACTGCAAATTATATGTTTGATACAGTTTTGTATTTTCTCTTCGTAAGTTATACTAATAGATATCACAGAAGACAACAGTTTAGTGAAATTTAAAAACGATATTAGTATACATTTATCTGTGGCTATGTGGCTGCAGAAGAAGATACCGATTTAAAACTGCCTCACTTTTATAAGAGAACAAGAAATTTCAAATCATGTATAAATGTTACTTGGTTAGACATCTCTCGTCATGGTAAAATGTTTTCTGTTCACAACCATTATATTGTTTTAGCAAGGCGATCATACTAAGGCCACGTTCCATCAAACCCTCCAAAAAATGTATCTTAATGAAGTAATATTTTTTAACGTGATAAAAATAAGAATGAAGCATGTTTTTATGTATGTATCATAAAACCTTCAAATGTTCATTTTCTTTTGATAACAGAACTGTGTCTTAAGAGGATACCTGATTTTCATTACTTTATAGTGGTTTCCAAAACGCCGTGGACTTATTGTTGGACTGGTTGTTGGGGGATTTGGTCTAGGAGCACTAGTCTTCACTCCAATTCAGACGGCATTAATAAATCCAAATAATGTACAAGTGGACAGTGTTACCAGGTGAGGGAACAGGGCAGTGTGGTAACTGCTAAACTTTGAAAATTTTAAAGTAAGCTTGTCACACAGATTTTGATAACACTATGAAAACACCGAATACCTTGGTCTATGATTAAGGCACCATCGACAACTGAAAATGCCACAATAAGGACGTTATTACACTGGATTAGTCAAATAATAATGAAAAAACAATAATTAAAAATAATGTTAAACCACAGCTTAGCATCTGCGAGTATTTAAAGAACAAAAACCTAGCATTAGAGTTACACGAGCTACGGATTTCATAGTCTGATTACTACTTTTAACTTTAAAAAAATAATCAGTTGTACTGCACTGAAACGTTTGCACTTTTGAGGCCACGGGTTTCAGATTTTACAACTACTCAAGTAATAACCTTCAAGCATCTATATATTTTAAGGTAGATGAGGGTAACAGACAATTAGTGCAACATGATGTTATTTGTTTAAACTCCACGTGGCCTTTTAGTTTTGAGTATTAACAATAGAAATTACTTGATTTTCAAGAGAGCAGGAGTCATTCTAATATTTATCTATTGCGAAGTAAATAATTGGGTCAGCCGTTTATTTTAAGTAAAAATTATGCGGACTAGTATTCGGATACTCGTAACAAAGATACCGAACAGCAGATATTATATTTTGGATTCATATTTAAAATATAGGTTTCATTATTCTAACAGACAAATAAACAGTAAAACACTACACTACTAACAGCTTATGTCAAGCCGTTTGATTCGAAGAGAAGGCCTTATAGTTTTCCTTTGGCCGGTGAACACAATTGAAACATTCATACGGAAGATAGCAAACGAAAACTTAATAAGTTTTCTGAATTGGTAGACACGTTTAGGCTTTGTGTGATGAGTCAAAATAACCACGATGCTCTTCTAAGTTATAAACGCGATTATTTGTCTTAAAAACTGCTAATGTTATTTTACAATTACTCGTGGCCTCTGCATTCAAATTTTAACACCTTTGATCAAAAGAAGTAAGTTATGCAGAATAACCCGTGGAACAGTATATTGATTTCGGAGTTGTCATTTTATGAAACACTAAATACGAGCTCATTTGTCTCAAAAGACTGTCGGCAGCTTCTTTTTATTCTTGCTTTTTTAAACACATCTTCACAGAAAATTTACCGATCCCGATGTGCTAGATCGTCTGCCGCCAGCGTTTCTTATACTTGGTGGCATTTTGCTGACAATTCAAGTCGTTGGCTTTGGACTGCTGCGTCCAAAACCAAAGCCAAAATGTGTAAGTAAACTTTTTTTAGTTTGCAATAAGCTGCATAAGTAGTTTCTTAAATGAAAAATTATCTCAAATACATCATTCTCAAAAGAGAGTCACGGATTAACTGATTTTAGCTTTATTTTTGAGTAAAATTATATTTACTTACAGTAATGCTATCAGCTCATTGTGTTATCAGCTGTGCCAACTTAAATAACTTGGAGAAGAATTAATTTGTAGGGTTTATTTCAGGTAAGTTATATTTGGGGTTGATACTAGAGCTACTTTCGGGTTAGAAAGGTAACTGTGTAGCACACATTTCAACCTCATTTCCGTGTTTTAGTGATTATCATTCTATTTATATTACACCTCATGAAAAATATCTTTAATTCGAAAGCCTATCATGTGATTTCTTTGCTTCTGCTAGACCACGAAGTCTAATCCATGTAAAGAAGGAGATAATCCAAGTACCAATCCAAAACGGGAACACCCATCAGTAAGTTTTATATATATACCATTTAGGAATTTCTTTGTTTAAAATAAGCTGCTTAATTCTTAATGTCTGGATTGATACTTTAATACGGTGTCCTTTAGCCAGTATAGTTAAGGGGTAAAAACAGTTTTCTCCTTCGAAATTACTGTACTATCTTTTCATAATAACTTAACTATCTTTCGTAAATTTAGTAACTTACAAGTGTATGTAGTGATGCATATCAAAAGCTACTTCTTGTCGGAACTATTAGCCAGCCACTAGTGAGTTTATTTTATCTAGAGTATTTCTTGGGGACTCGAACTGAATTATGTTCTTTGATCAGTATTTGTCGAATAAAATAACTTAGTACGAGAAATCTGACAACATATTCATTGTTAGTCTCTTAAAATCGAATTGCCGACTTCTTGAATGGGCATCGTAAACGGTTCGTTTATTACAGCGTTTCCTGCCATCTAGTTTCGAATAGTTAGCAAATTCTGACACGGAGTTATTTTATTATTCTTAGTAGCTATGCACAAGTTTTAGTTGGTCAGAAACATTCGCTGGTAAGAATTGAGGCAACATTTTGCTTCAAAATACTGGGGAATACCTGTAGCTCGGAATGAGAATGTTTAGTCTAACGTTTCCGACCAGATAACGGCTTTTGTTGGTGGTTTTCCGGGAAGCAGTGATTAGTTTATGTTGTTTATGAAATGACAATGCTGTATTCATCACCAAAAAAGCCACCAAATTGATGAAAACAAATGTTCAAAAAAAGTCAATGGTCACAAAAACATGTTGAAGACTACACTGATTAAAGGTGGTTATCTCCTACACCAGTTAAAGTTATTCGATATAGCATAAAGTGATAGTGTTTTAATTACTGAATAGTATTTGAGCAGAAATTATTGGCAGAAATCACACCAGTGTATCTGGAAGACTTCCTGACTTGGTTTATATTGCTTTACTATCACCTACTTTTGCATATATCTGGAACTGGAGTCTTCTCATTTCTATTGCACACATTAGATGTTGACTCAGTGAACAAAGAATCAGTGATCCAATGGAGATTGTGCATTATTTTACAGAACAATAATTCTATAAAATGTATTAGTGTGTTCATTTAACGTTATTTTCTATTTTAATGTAGGATGAGGAATATAAGTCAACAAAAAATAAGTGAGTTTTTATTGTTTTTCTAAAATGTTAGCCATTTTGACTATTTCATCTCAACTTGGACTAATTTCCCTGCAGACAGGACTCAAAACCCTTTGATACTTGAGAAATAGTTTATTCAGGTTGATTTAATCTATGTTTTGTACTGACATAATATATCTATATTTAGGATGTAAACAGAAAATTTCCTACTTTATAAGTAGACCACGTGAGACGCTAACCTTCAAATAAAATACATTGCAGAACATTGACTATCGACCTATTAATTTGTTTTCACTTCTTTCATTTGCAGTCACGTATACTTGTTTATTGTTTACCTTTTCACGTGCTTCATATGTGTTTATTACAAAATACTGTGTTTTGCAGCCATATGATAAGGGAGAGATGGACATACTATCGGATTAATCAACAAAAATCAAATATATTTTCGCTTCTAAAAATGACAGTTTACCAAGACCGATAGTATAAGGCGTGTTACCAGGCTATTCAAATATATTAGGATAACTGTGTCCAAATTCTGGTTAGTGCATAATTCGATGAGTTTGATTGAATTAGATATACGTTATGTACCGTCAGCCATCAACTAAATGTGTATTATAAAGATGCTAAATGATACTGAGAAACAGCTGACGAATATTTAAGATGTCTCGATAAAGTTTCATAGACAATAATAATTTTACAGGAAGACATTTTTGAGTCTTTTCATTTACTGTCAACATACATAGTCACTGTAGTAAATAAGTATTAGTACGTGTATTTTGGAATTATTTTTAACATTAAACTAACCAAGTAACTAGTGACATGTTGCTATTTTTTAACTGCATATTCTACTTCTAGTGAGATTAATATCAGTCCAAGACAAGTCTTTCGTTATATTGACTTCTATCTCTTATGGTTAATAATGTTCTGTGATATAATTCCAGTTACCATAATTACCTCAGCTTACAAGGTAAGTTAATCTTTATTCATCGTTAATGTTCCAGGTTTGCGTTTAAACTAACATTTTATTCTTAAACTGTGATTTTACGCTGGGAAAATTCGAAATCCAATCAAAAACGATTTTCTACCTATTAGTTCTTTTTTGAAACTACCTGATTGTACGTCAGTAATAATCAAAACGACCAAATTAATTTTAATGTAAAATGACTCAATAAACAGAGTTCCACTGGATTTATGTAACAAAAAAAGTAAGAATATGTCTCAAATAGTCCATTCTACTACCCAGAAACTGAACTATAGCAAAAGGTTCCTGAATATGTGCCAATCGCTTTCTACCACGATGTTAATAGAAAGTTTTTATCATCAAGATATGAAAGACAAGTGCAAAGGCTTTCAGTAGAAATAAAAAGCTTTAGGTATTTGACTGAGAAAACATAGGTTCCCCAAAACTAGTTACAAACATATAATACTCTGAGGTTTACTCAGCAATGATTTATTTGTGAAAAGTTCTGTAATTCCTGCGATGAAATACTGATAAATAGTTCACTGCGATATGAAAAATCAGGTGTTTTCATCATAAACGGATGTGTGTTCACTAGTCTGGTTGCTAGTTTGGCATTGTGAATGCGTTGATTTCAGTGTTCGCCGAAGTTATGTCACATATCGTGAAATATTGCAATAGATTTGGCTTTAAACCACCAAGAATTTAGGAGATTTAATTTGTTACTAATTTTTTCAGTTATACTTCCAAGCTTCATTTTCTTCTCACCTCACATTTTTGGCTTACAAATGTTTCAGATGTTTGGTCAAAAATACATTAGTGATGATAGATTCCTGTCAGGTGTGGCTACTGCGTCGGCACTTTTTAACGCTGCAGGACGTGTGATGTGGGGAGCAATTGTCGATCGCATTTCCTTCAAGGTAATAATTTTTTCCACAAATTTGTTAGCATTTAAAATGAATTTTGAAGGTACGTAGCAACACCTATTGTCAAAGATAAGGTTATTTGACATCAAATATAGACAGCAAGCATGTACATAAATTATCTAGTTAAGACACAGACTATCACCGAAAGAAGTTAATTAACTACATTCAATCGGCCAATCAAAACTGTGTATTTCTGTCTAAAAGTATATACTACTGATTGATTGAGATGAGTAGTTGCATGCCACTCATATAAACCAGTAGTGCTCCATAGCCAGATTGAGGTAATCTAAACACAGAACAGTAGTTTCTCTCAGTTGAGGCCCAGATAATAAGCAGTGTACCAGGTTTGACTCAGCTCAGAGAGCCGAACAAGTTGGAACCATTCAATTTCTGACTAGCTACTTGGTCAAACTGGCCATGCCATAAATCACATTCGTAGTTTGTAAATTGGTTAGCCATTTACAATTTACAATTATGATCTGAATAACTTGGTTCCACAAAGAAACTACGGTGAAATCTCACCACTCGAACTGTATAGCCTGCAATTTGTCAAATAACTTGAAAAGTAGTAATTCGATTTTTTTATTCTGCTTAGTTAGATGTCTTTCAATGAGTCTGGCTAATATGAAAGAAATCACACCCATTTCAACAACGTAGTTATTTATGATACGTCTAACTGTTTCGTTAATATAACCCACATATATCACATGATATGTATAAGTAATCATATGTGTACAAAGAGTCCCAAATAACAACCAAGCATTCGAAGGTAAATAAAACAGTCATATTTTTATAGTTTATAATAAGCGTTTCTGTATTAACTGTGTAAAGAGATTGCATTTTTTATTTAGGGGGGAATAGAGCGAATTATCACTGTTATTCAAACACAAACTTGGTACAATATCAGGACAGCAAATGAGAAACACAAAACCAGTAAATCACAATATATGGAAAACAAATAGAATAACTGGAGCACGGGATCATGAAAAAGAGTGTTTATTGCATGATGTTACTTCAGAAAGAGAGAACAAGAACAAACTGCATCATGTTGGTCATTAGCAAAGGTTCTCAGTCCCATCTGATGAAATCTGAAGCCACTCATTTATCTAACAGCTACCTTCGGAATGTTGTCACCTACTAAGAAGAAGGGACATAAGGAGATTGGATGACCCTTGCTTATCTCACTGTTGGAAGGGAATACTGATGTTAGGTGGCTACATGTTTTCACTCTACCTGAATTGTTTTGTGTAAGGCTTTCAAGACGTTGAAAAATTTCCCAGATCCATATGTCTCTGATATGCCATTCCAAACACTATTCCACCTAAAGGATAAAAGGCCGCTCTAATCTACAAAAATAGTTACTGTTAGTTTGCGATACGTGTCTGGATAGAGTTCTAGAATCTGATAAAGTATGAATATGTAGTCATTGTTTCAATGATCTGGAGGAAACCTAGCCTGTTTTTTGAGAATCAGTTTCTTATGCGTTTTAATCACTTCAGAGAGCATGACGGAAGCCAATATCTTAGGCAGAACTTGAAAGAGACTAATAACCCGGTGAGTATTCAAGTATTGGTTTGTAAGGATTTGGTTGATTGGTTACAGTATTTCATCATGAGCCGACGTCAGTTAGAGAACCATTGCAAAACCTGGGAGTACTGGACAGCTGTTCCGTCCTAGTTCGGGACTCTTCAGCAGCTAACGCTTGCGCTATATCGTGAACTGACAGAAGTTAGAGTTCATGGGCCATTGGATCGGGTCCCAGTGGCTTAATGGTATACGAGCTGGCCTTGCAATCAGAAGGTCCTAAGTTCAAATCTCGGTGGGTGCATACTGCTGAAGAGCCCCGACCTAGGAAGAAACAGCTATCCAGTACTCCCAGGTTTTCCATGGTTCTCTAACTGATGTCAGCTCATAATGAAATCCTGTAACCAACCCGCTGAGTACCGACTGCATTATTCAGGCCTTAATTAAAGAAAGGTACAATAATCGCTCCATTCAACACTGATGGGAGACTGTCACTTTCCTACACTTTCCTGAACAACCTGGTAAGCCCCCTTACCCCCTAAGAGTCTCGTTGCCATGTTTAAAATAAGCCAGAGGTGAGGTTTCTTGGCAGGATGCAGTATTTCGCTTGACTATTTGAAGCAGTATTGGGAACTCCAACTGTTTTGAAGGATCATTATGAATATGCAGCATTGTGATTATTAATATTGGATACTGGTTCTGCGAGTGAGCAAAGTTTTGTTCTTATCAGGGTTGCTACAGTCTTTTTAAGTTACCAGACAGTGAACAATCTGCATCACATATTGTCTACCTAAACTATGATTTCCCCTTCCACTAGCGCAGATGAGCTGGAATGGTTTCTAAAAGAAGCTTCTGAGTCAATCTAGCTCTTGTGTTCCAGTCATCAAGCTTTGAGGCCTTTAAGTAGTTCCTGCTGACGCAATACGCAGGCGCCTTTCTCAAATTACTGTTTTAAAAACACGACAAAATTATACCGTTGCCGTTCTAACATGCTTCAAAATTTTGTATAAAAATTTCAGATACCAATGTGTACAATGCTGCTGCTATGGTCTTTCATTCTGATAACGTTCCCGCATATCTCTTTGTTCACCGGCACAACACTGAAAGTTTTTTATACTATATGGGTATTACTTCTATTTCTATCTCTAAGTGGCACATTTGTTATTCAACCAGCAGCAACTGGAGCTCTCTTTGGTCCTGTTCATATGGCTGTTAATTATGGTTTAATATTTACTGCATTTGTAAGTGATCATTATCTTTCTTATTGTTTGATTCAGTAATCGTAATACACGTGATACTTATATCAGGTACTTATATTTTCACTCTTATTCTACTTAGTATAAACGTCCGTCTTCATTTATCTGTTAGCTTCACTAAGGTTCGTGAAATTTGAATGACACGCTTAGCAACATAAGAGAAAAATTGAAGCTCATACTAATTGAGGCAGTTAGCTGTATTAAATGGATAACTATCAGGTCTACAAGGAGGTTTAAGGTGGTGTTCATACAGTCACGGTACTAACATTTTCTTAACTTATGTATGAACATTAACTGATTAGTACACGGAAATCATTTGGTGCCATACTTTTTGTTATTGGATGAGTTGAAAAGCATATATCTTTTGATTTTCTCTTCTATTACCTGCATAATCTGATTGTTTTGTATGTGCGTGGTTGAAGTTTGCTTATCCTCTGCAATGATGAGCAGCCATTCAGTATAAAAAAGACAAACTTGTGGTTAATTAGTGCATTTTCAAGGTAGATTTTATTAAGCACAGTGAAATGTGTGAAAGGGAAGTCATTATTTAGAAAAATCTAAACACTTTAATACAAAGTTGACTTCAATCACTGAATACAAGATTATTCAAAGAAATTAGAGTGAAGTTCCTGTTCTTACCAAAGGCAGCTGTTTGGTGACGGCTTGCAATTAAAATAACCCTAAACACTTGGATAACTTAAGATTTCTTATTTTATAAAATGTGTTTTGAAGCTACTGCAAGCATTTAAGGTCTAACTTTTGACTACAGCTCACTTTACTTTTTATGACAATACTATAACTTGTGTTTATTACATCTAAAACATTTTTCAAAGGCATTTGGAAGTTTGTTATGCGCATTGGTGACAACATTTGTGAGTTCGAAAAATGCATACCTTGTTCAGTTCACTGCATGTGGCCTGATTTGTCTATTTGGTAAGTGATGAAAAGTCATTATTTCGCTTAATTTTAAGGGGAAACTTGTATTTTTTCCATTTTTTTAGACCGACAGCTAACTAATAGGCGTATATACAGTTAGAAACTTAGTTAAGATTCGTCAAAAATCTGTTAGGAGTTGTACAAAGCTGAAAAAAATAGTTGATCTCCTAAGCACCTGGAGTACGCTTTCCTATCTAGTGTTATATAAAGTAGATATTGAGTTTCCTATCAGTCAATTAGACCGGCTTAATTGTTTGGCCGCTGTTTCGCGAACATGTTAGGCTAAAATGACAGCTTAAGTACCGTAACGAAATTTGATCAGTTTATGCGTCCAGGATAGTTGAGAATCATTGATTTTCACTATTCACAGTAGTGTTTATATTTTTATGTTTTATAAAACGAACAGTAAAATACTTTCTCAGTGATATAATCTATCCATCATGAAACAATTATTTGAAGTACAGCTTTAAGGAAAACAAGTTTGTTTAATTCATGTATAACTAACTCACTATTTATGGTAAACAGTTAATTGTGCATTTAAGAGTTGTTTACACTTAACATTGAAGTAGAAACGCAGATCTCATTCATGATACTTTAACACGTTATTAGTTCTTATAATCCTGAACAACACAAATATTGATAGAATTAATTTCACTTCCTTCATTTGTCATGATTGTGGCATGAATTCTATTAAATCTCTGACCCTTGGTAACCTAGTTGTTTTGGTTTTCATGATTAAATGAGGTGAAATTTGACTGTCAAACAGCGTGACTTTTGTTGTCTAAGTATTCTGAAATGTAAAATATCACGTCTGAAGTTCGCTGATACTATCAACCAATTTATAAGGTCTTAAACGTGTAACTTTTATTCATTGCCTAACATTTCGTGTAGTTTAGGTTAATTTCAAATGTGGAAATATTCTTTATTTGGTAAACTGCCTATATTCACAGGCAGAACATTTAACGCAAGTCAAGGTTTTATATGATACAGCAATAAGGATAATGAATAAAATAATACTGAAATTCGTATATAAAGCTTGGGCAGGAAACGAAAATAACAGAATACCGACTGCCCAAGTTTTACCACTATGTCAAAACTTCTGCAGAACAACATTCTGATTATTTTGTTGTTTAAATTAATTTGTACAGATAAGCGCATATTAAGATATCGTACAGAAAAGAAATGATTGAGTGTGAAAGGCTATGAAGCTGAAGCTCGAGCATGTTTGATCAAATGACACCAGTAAAATGAAAATAACGTAAACAAGTTTAGGATTTAGATTATGATTCTTCACAAACTAAAACAAATAGATTTAATTGCGTTCAGATTTTCCTGTCGACTGGAATCGTAATAAATGAGACCCCTTGCACAAGAGGTGGCTCTCGTGGATAACGCTTTGGCGTTTGAAACTATGGGTACTAGTTTCCAGCCTCGGTGGAAACATCACTACTCACTGGGGAATGCAAGCAGATCCAGATGACAAGTCCTAAATAGGACAAAATGTGCATCCTGGATTCTACTGCTAGTCACCATCCACCCCTAAAAAAAATAGAGGTATGGGTATGTGGGTAAATGGGTATCTAAGAGAATGAATTGAAAAGGACAATGACATCTCAAATTGTTTTAAATAACATTCCATGCTACAACACTGATTGTAAACAAGTGTTGCGAGATGCCTTTAGTTCCACGGAAGTCCAATACGGTATCGTTATTGAAGACAAATGAAGTAGGATGATCACAAATGTCATGTAAAACAATTTTTCTACAAGAAACGTCTATATCCGGTCGCTTTAGGTATGTAACTCAAATATTACAGAAAGTAGCTTATGAAGATATGGTCACCATAAAATGTCTGTCATTTCAAATCTTTATGAAATATTTACCGTGAAAGCTGTACTTGGACGCAGTAATACTGACTTCATTTTTGGTTATTTCGTGTACAAAAGCCAACTCTTAAAGCAAGCGATTCCTCGTCTTTAGACGAAATATCCAAGATTTTAATGAAATGTAATAAATGTTTGAATAGAAGCAGCTCGAATTTCATTATTCTCCTATCTTTGGCCTTTCCTTCCATTTTAAATAGCATTCTGCCTTGCGTTATGGATTAATGACCGAAAGATGCCTAAGCGCGTTAACTTTTGCCAATTCTGCACAAATGCTTGTTCAAGTCTAAGAATTCCTGAAGTGGTACCAGCTTCTGCTGAGGAGTTGGAAAAATTGAATCGACCTAACGAAAAATCTTCAGTGAAATGTGAAGAGGCTTAAGAGAGAAAATTTAACCTTAATGGTTTTTAATCATGGTCCCTACCTGACAATCTTTTTAATTTTTGTGTTTTATAACTTCACAATTTGGAAATAATTTTTGTGTTGTGGAAGTGATTACCTTCCAATTAATCTGTCAGCTTCACCATCCCTAAGCCTAATTGACACTAAGAAGAGGAAAATTCTTCTAATATAACCATTGGTCTTCGCTCTTTCTTTTTCTTGATCTCTGATACTTACTGTTTGATACTAATTTTCAGCTTGTTTTTTATCTGTTATTGTTTGTTTATTTTAGCTACTATTTTGTATATATCTATCAGAATGGTTAGAATTCATTTGGACTGGATCATCTGCAGGTTGTTATGCCCAGATGCTAAACAGGGAATATTTCCTATTCTGATTGTTTATCTCATTAATGTGTAATTGTAAAGATATTTAAGTTTGATGCACAGGTCATAGGACCTGACATAATTATGTAAATACCCAATAAATCAACAGAGCAGTTATTAGGGGTTGGAAGTTGATTTTGTACACTCGATTCAACATTTTGTAGAACTAAAGACACTGAAATGCAAATACAGCTTCTGGTTCCAATGAGGATCCAAAGCGCAATTTGGATTTCACTCTCTACCGACATTACATGTATGCAGGTTATTGTTTGGGTTAGCTTGTTAACTGGTCTTCTATGACTGTGTGGTTCTTGCTGCTCATGTTCAATCGTATGAAAACTATGAAAGTATACTGGATGATCTAAAGGGCGTTTGTGAATTTCAGCCACACACCACTAAAATTTATTCTTTCACTTTCTGTGTGCTATACCTTATATCACTAATTATAAAGTATTTTAAAAAGCATGAATTATTGTTTAAAATCGTCAAATATTTAGGTTCTGAAGACGAAACAAGATACGGTGAATAGAAAGCATACTCTTAGTAAGAATAGTGTAATTGTGCCACGTGAAAGTTTGCAATCAGGGACAGTGATTTGTTGTCTGGGTATTCCGATAGGAGAAATTCTGTCAAAGCGTTGCATATGATGTTAATTTTGCAAAGATTGTGAAAAGTGGCACTTTTTAGCAATCTTGCATATACTGCTTGTAAAAATAGAAATACTTTCTAAGGAAATCGATACTAAAGTGTGTCTCATTAAGAAAAAGAAGGGAATTTAGTCTCAAACTGGTTTTACAAGACTGAGTGACGAAGTTGCTGTATATATACATTGATTGTTTCTGGCCTGTAAATCTTCGATACTACAGGTTGATGAATAATAAAAATTCTAATTTAAAATGGAAGGCGTAAGAAAACCAATAATTCGAAAAGAGCAAAAATGGATTCTGTAGTTTATTTTGGTGTTGTCTAATAGTGAAGTCAAAGATGATTATTTTATTTCATTAGCTAGAGACATTTGTATCAATGAGTTTGAAGTCTTTCGTTCACACATCATGCATAAAAAATTATCACACTCTTCAAGGGTATACGCTAACGTGGTAAAAAATAGATTTAATGAAACTCCAGAAGATTAAATCATACATAAGAAAGAATAATTGATTGAAGATTGGTGGTTATTTCTAGAATCTGGAAAATCACAAAGATTAAATATATATCTACACCAATGAGAACGATTTTCAGCGGTGTTACGAACATTCTCAAAGCCCTGATTTTTTGACTCCTGATTATCTGAGCCAAGTAGTCTACACCTCTTTGAGAACTCAGACCAACAGTTAAAGCCTTCATTGACTGGTGAGCTATGTTGTTCTGATCACCTTATTCTGTATCAACTAGCACCGCTCGTTAAGGAAGATGACGTGAGTAATGGGTGTTCGCGTCACCTCATTCGATACTACTTCGCACAGCTATTGACTGAGGTTCTCTGATTACCACACACATAGCCCAATCTTTTTATTATTGACCATATCGCCTACACATAAGGCGAGAGAATAGATGGAGAAATTCATGGTCTGAGGCCGTTAAACTTTTCATATCTCTCATCGTAAACAGTCATATCTGACAGTGGTAAAGTACGAGGAAGTGAATTGCTGCACAAAACACATATCCTCAAGCAGACAATCGGATATCATATCAGTACCAAAGCTGATGCAAGTTAGTGAGTGCTGAATAGATCTCTTTATCCATTCTATATTTTGGTCACTTGTCAAAAGGTGTAACTTCCCAGTGAAGTGGAGTGGTCAACACTTTCAGCAGTTTTACCTCATGTCCTTAAAACGAACGTGGTGCAGGTCATTCTTGGAATATCATCTCTAATTTAACAGGCATTAGTAACATGAGAAATTCACACTTTTGCTGACACTGTTAGAAAGTTTCTGCAGTTCGTTCTACGCACAAAGACAATGCATCTGTATGCTCTAGATCAGCGACATTCTTCCATAATTAAAAACCAAATTTTGAGACACGGAAGTTGGCAACGGTTCTTCATCCCTTTAGAGTTAATTTAAATTATAATGGTGAAAGTGGGTAGCCTTGATGCCTTAAAATTGCAGCATGTATTCGAATGAAATGCCCTGATTAGTGCATTACACTGTTCCAGCGTTCTGCTCACAGCCAGATATTGTCACAGCACTTTTAGTTCAGCACGCTGAAATCCCTCTTTCAGGTCAACAAATATGGTAGGCATCGGATGCTGGTAAGTATACTTATGTTTCGGAACGCGTCAAAGGATGGAAGTATGAACAATAAGCCCCTGTTCAAGGTAGAAACTATCCTGATACTCTTGAGCTCTGAGAATTCTCCAAAGGACTATGGAACTAAAAATCCTGGATGCTATGCTAGCCATTCTAATGCCACTGTAGTTAACACAGGAAGCGTTGTTCCCTTTATTGTGAACTAGGATGACCAAGAATATACTCCGTTTCAATGAAACCACCTCCAAATCTCATGCCATAGCTAGTAACAGATAATCTAACCATTAATTCATAACCACCATTCTTAAGTACTTGTGGAATCACATCAGTAGGTCATACTAATTTGCTTCTTTGTTAAAGTAGAGAAATCTATTATAATCTTGACTGAAACAGGAGTGCTGATATCTGCATCCTATCCAGATACGAGTTAGATGGTGGGGAAATGAAGTTTTGAAGCAAACTAATTCAAATGCAAAACCTTATGGACATGCATACTGGGAAATCAAAATGTCCCCTTACCAGGAGGTCATATCGCTAAGAAATATTTGAGTAGTTCAATTAATGTTACCATCTGCATCTATGAATCCCTCCAAAAAAGCACTTGGGATTTTCTCCAACTCATAGAAATAGTTATTTTCACGCAACACACATTTTATGATGATTTTCTAAATCACTTACAATACATTTTGCTAAAGTCATTTAAAATCATCACCTGTTAGGCTGATGATGGTTACTTTTAACAACCCTGCATTTGAGATTCTCTAAACTACACTATTTTCTTCACTGTCGTTTTATTATTAAATCTTTTGTAACCACTGTAATTTTAGATGAAAACCTGGGAGATTAGATGATATTATTTCATGAAGCTAATTCATTATTACTTGCTTTATAAAAAAACATTACTGCGTTGATCGCAACCAAGTGGTTAGGACTCTCGCCGACCATGCACATGGTCTGGGGTTCGAGCCTACGCCGACGCACACCTGATATCTATGGTCGGCCTGCGAAATTTTGGGCTACCGATATCCATGCTGAAAATTCCATACTTGTACCATAAATACGGTGTGGAATCAAGCTGTAATCAAAAATAAAAAAATAATAATAAAATAAAAAGTTCCATATAGCATAGCAGTCTAATAACCAAGGCCTCTATGTGACAACAAAATTATAGCCAATATTTTAAATAAGAAAACGTTTTGCAAAACAATTTGTTAGATTAAAAACAGCTACACTACACGTGGTGTAAAATAAATGATTCTTGAAAGTGCAACTGTCTTATAAGCAGTAAATTATTTACCAGTTTTTCCATTAGTTTCGAAGGATATCCAATACTCTATTTTAGTCAGAAATAGTATATTATCCATCTATGAAAGCAAATATTATTTTACAATAGCTCAGCATGGAAGCAGTTTTTCTCGTCAGTGGTGCTTATAAGACTTAAGAAGAGCTGATAAATCAATTCTCCTTACATCTTGTGTTATCAGCAAGAACTTTTTACCACCAACTGTTTAAAATACCTGTTTGATCCAACTTTCGTACAGTATAGTTACTTCTGATTTGAACGATTTTATTCAGGTTTCTATACAGTCAAAAAGTATAAAAACCACATGATTTGTAACAGGCCTTTAATGGTTTCTGCTTGTTTTGATTAAACTGTCAAAACATTTCAGTGTATAGGTTGTTTCTTGACAAATGAATCGTGTGGCTAAAAATAGACTGGTGGTGCACGAAACAGTTTACGTCGGTTTTACATTGTTAGTTTCATTTTTTCAAACTTATGATAAATATTTCCTCTTTTCAAGTGTCGGCCTGTTAAAATTACATGAACTCCTAAAGACCAGTTATAAACCAGGGAGCTCCGGACAGTTGTTTGGTCCTAGTCCATGTAACATGACAGTCATGCGATTGGTCACTGGTGACGCCATTACTGAGCTACCGAAGAATTCCAAATTAGCACAAGGGAGTGGTACAATAAGGGATGATCATTAGTAGCGTGATCTACTTTAAACTTTGGATATATTTAGACACTGGTGTCAGAAACATAACTGTTGATTATAATGTGATGTGTTTTGTAGAAAATTAAACTGCAGTCTCAAAATTCTTAATGTACAACAACGACTTTTGCTCAAACTATTTCATGATACATTTGGAAAACTCAAGCGTTGTCAGTGAATCACTTGACTTATACGCAGCAATACTTTGTATGGATACCACTTAAGTTTATTTTATTGGAATGCTTGAATTCTTTCTGATACAGAAGATAGAAAAAATGTGACTTTTTCGTTTAAGCTAAGAATGCAAAAAAATAAAATAAATCACTGACTGCTGCTTATAACTTCCTGAGAAAGAAGGAATTTACTGATATAATGAGATCTTCGTTGATGACTCCATATTCATTGATTTAACATACCTGTTATATTTGTTCATACCTATAGTGTATAGTGTAAGTATGCTACAGTGTTGTGTTAATTTCAAAAGTGGGACATTATTTCTCTGGATAGGGTGAACTAATTTCTTGTTAATGCGTCTGATCAGCCTCATTTCGGCATATAGATCTTTTGAACTGATACCGTAGTATCAAAATAGTTTCCAAATTGCTTTACGATCAGCACTGTCGAAGGTAGAGATCTGACTGCCAATGTTTGCTTTGTTCGATGGTGATGCGTAGAGTTACGATTCGAACAGCACATGACTTGCCATTCCTGATTCCAGCCAGCTAGTTCCGGGCGAAGTTCTGTATACAGTGCATCCATTATTCTCTCCAGGATGATGCGACTTAGTGTTTTATTTGGCGTGGGCGACAGCATGCTCCTACCTCAGTTCTTGTAAAGGCTTTAATCATCCTTCTTTGGTAGTCACAAGGGATGCTCTCTCTTCCAATTTAAAGGTGTCTTTCCTTCCTTCCAAATCTTTTGAAACAGTGGCGTAAGCACATCTGCTACTGACTCCAGATCCCTATTCAGTGCTTCCGAAGGAATTGAGTCCACCTTCCTGGTTTTCAGTAGTTTGAATGCAATCAAGATTTCTGCTTCATTAGATGATTGGTGTCAACTGGTAGTTTTTTGCCTGTTATTGCTGCTATTTCCGCACGAGTGATAGGTGATGGTCGATCCAGGAGTCTTTGAATTGATCAACCCATTGTTTCCTTAGCACCTCCCCTCTGATAATTAGGTTTCCTTCACCATCCTTCACTGGTTTCATCTGTGCTGACCACTTCCTGGTGAAGACCCTTTTATTCGGTATAATGTCCTGAAATCCCTCATGTCTTTGACCTCACTCTGATGGCTGAATAGGAAGTGTCATTTGTGGCCTCCGCCATCAGGTTTCGAGTGGTGGACTGTTATTTCGGTCTGTCTTCGGTTGCTTTGTGGGGCTCTGGCTTGACCTGGAAGGTCCCTTGCGCTAGATAGTGGTGCAAGTCCATATCTGCTCCCCTTCTCGACTTTGAGTTCAACAGACTTCTTCTCCACCTTTTTCAGCAGCATGGCGATGAAGTCCGTCTGGCTTTTGGTGCGTCCATCAGGTGGAATCCATGTCATCTTGTGTATGTCGTTGTACTTGTACACGCTGCCTCGAATCAGTGAATCACTGAAGGCGTAGAAGCCTACGAAGAGTCCTACACCCTCATCCATTTCGTTGACAGTAACCTGACTCATGATGAGTTCACTTTCTATATTATCTGTACCAATTTCGGCATTCGTACTTGAAATCAGGATTTTGGTGTCGTCATCCGGCATCTCATTCGTTACCATTCTCAGTTGTCCATAGAAATCTTCCTTCTTCTCTTGTTCTGAGTTATTCGTAGACACGTAGCATGGGACGATTGTGACCTTCTTTACTTGTGAGTTGAATCTTGCTGCCAGAGGAAACTGGTAAACACTTCATAAACTCTTTGGCTACTGTTGGGGAAATCATGATAGTCACTTTCTCAGTGTGCTCGTGGTTGTCGTTTGGGTGACTGGAGTATGTTACTAACTCCCCAGTTAACAATTTGCATAGTCCGCGTCCATTCCACATGCTCTCATAGATTCTTGGTACTTGTGTACCATATCTTTTCATTTATTCGCCAACCTGGTTAGTTTTGCCAACGTCGTATACTGTACGGACACTCCACGTCCCATTTCTCGTTTTTGCATTCATCAAAATAAAGCATATTGACTGACTGGCTCCTTTAAGTCTTTTAACAGCCGTTGTGAAAAATAAGTTCGTTTTTACATTTTTCTTGTTTCTGAATGTCATTTTCTTAAGTAACAGTAAGAAATCATATTATGGAATAATACTAGAAATTTGTGTTCAGTTTTTGTCTAAATATTGGGGTTTTCATAGGCACTAAAGAAGGACTCTTTATTACAAAGCATTCGTCAACTGGCTGGCAAGATTCTTGTGTGGTTGTATTTATAAAGAGAGTATCCCGAAGTCTGTATGAAAATACATATCTAAAAGAGATTATCCTTTTTATTCTGCTTATATTGCCAATGGTAAATCTAGTTTGAGAGTGGCTGTCTACTTTTTTATATTCGCTCATCCATATAAATATGAAAGCAATCAATCAATATTGCCCTGTCGTGCAGGAAGATGAATGGACAAAGTAGGAAGATAGGGTGAAGAAAATAAAAATTTCCCTGCTATGACCTTAAATAACCTTCTACGTTTATAAATGCTTCACTATTAGTCATTTCCTACACTTAAATAAACATGGAATAACTAATCAATTTTGTATTAGACTTCCATTCATATTCATATGCCATGCAGAACAAGATTTAGAAATCAATATTTATACCCAGAATATTATTTTGTTGAATAATTGTAGAGTTAAATACGCGAGCAGTTAGGTATTGAGGGAACAAACTACCACGTGACTGACGTAAATGCTTCAGACACTTGAAATTAGAACGTCATAATTTGCATCAGGCTGACTTTATTTATGTTTAACCAGTAGTCTGTTCATTCAACTGCTATTGCACATGAAGTCTACAGTTGTGATGCACTAATTATTGTTATGAGCGCGTATGTCCTACTGCAGATCAAGTCATCCGATTTGAATAAAGTGCATCTATGACCCTCTAGGCATAAAAAATGGAGCCTTGAGGCTACGAAACCAAGAATGTTGACCATAAAACTATATCAGAAACAATACAAGTTGAAATTGTGTTTATTCTCTGCATCACTGCAAGGTAAATCTAGTCAGATTGACATTGATTACTGTAGGCAAGTAGTTCATAAAGGATATGAAACCTTCATGAGTGTTGAAACATATGAATATAGTTATCGCATATGATAGAAACTTAGAGTTCAAATAAGCCTGCGCATAGCATGAATCACTAAATAGGTTTGGCTTACGTCATACCCTGGATAATGTGAGAGTAAAAAGTGGACACTGTGATATGAATTCAAGTTGGTTTGTTTTATTTGCATGGTTCATTAAATTCACAAACAACCCTAAAATAATTGCTAAACTACTTTTCGACATTTATATCAATTAGTTGCGTTTCTAACTCAGGAGCATTGGTACTTCTACTTAATTTACTTTTCCATTAGTAACTCACATTATTATTTCGTTTGTCCGTGTCGTCTCCATATTTTCAAATTTCAAGCACCTTGATAACCGTTTTGCCAAGCTATTTAGTATACTTATTCAATTTATAAGGCAACTTATAAGTTTCACTAAAAGCGTAATACCACTTACAACGTCCCTTTTTGGAGTCTCAGAGCCCGCCAACTAAACATATTGTCGAGGGTTCGATCACCGGCCGGCCCACTCCTATACCACACTGAGTCTCTAGCAAGTCCGGTAAAAAGGGGTGGATTGGCGTGTAGGTAGCGAACCCATCCAACAAAAATAAAACCATTTCTACCGAAACTTCAACGTTATAGCTTGAAGCCCTGTGTTCCAGTAAAGGAATAGAAAATTAAACTATTTCTCCCGTGATAAAGAAATCTTATATCCAGTTTCCTGTAAAGCAAATTTAACTTATAGATAGGAAATTGTCGGCAGGCACTTTCATATTTAGAGCATACTCTTCAACAGCAGAACATGTTATTAAGTGTCTATTCTCAATATTTGACACCAGGGGAAAAT